CACCATGCATGGAGTCGGGGAGGCACGGGGAGGCCAGACCAAGGCCGGCTGGCTCTTAACCCATCCTTGCCTGCTGGCTCCTCAGCTCCTCTGTTCATGGAGGAGGTTCCAGGAGCCCCAGGGCTGAGCCCACATGGAGGGGACACATCCAGGCTCCAAAGGGCTTCACTGCACTGCTGCAAAGCCCCAGCCAGCCTTTGGGATGAGTAACAGGTGCAGAGAGGAGGTGATGAATGGAGCGCCGGGCACCATCTTTCCCACTCCACCAGCCCACCACGGCATCTGGCACCATCGTCCCTATCCCAGCAATCCTGTGCCCACTCTGCGTCTGCCACAGTTTTAGGGGATGAGCCTGGCTCTGGCGGGAGCATCTCACCATCCACACATGGACAGCTAGTGGGGGTCACGTCTCCGGCAGTTGCCCCTCCCAGGGCCAGTGCGAGCCCTTGGTAACCAGTCTCCTCTTTTCCCTGCCATCAAGTCCTTGCCTCATCCCATCTTCCGTGTCACTCACACCCTGCGCCTCCCACCCTTTGGCCATGGCTACACTTACTGCTGCTCCCTCTGAACCTTCGCTATGCAACCGTCTCTTCCGTTGGCTTCCTCCGTTGGCTCCCTCTCCCCCCCATCGTTAGAGCCCTGCGTGGACACAAAACATCTGCTGTCAGCCACTGTAGAAAGGACTCAGAGCTCAGAATTTGGAGATAACTTAAGGGCCATCTCATGACTGTCCCATGGATTTCTTGGTTGACTTACATTCCATGGGGCAGATTCTTTGATTTCCAAAATTGACATCAAGGCATCGGCGTGACCCTGTGACTCTGGCCTCAAGCCATGGAGAGCGAACCAAAGGGATAGAAACATTTCTTGCCAATTAGCAAGTGCTCACATAAAAGGCAATGGAATCCCATCTAATGAATCTTGGGCCAGATCTGCACTAAACGAGAACGTCAAATCAAGATATGCAACTCCAACTACGTGAATTACTAACTGGAGTCGACCGTCCTTGTTTCAAGTTTCTAATGGCCCCATAGTGGAAGGACAAAGGGAACAAATGGTCCATCGGCTTCCCTTACTCCTCATAGAAGCAGGTGTACTGGCTGCCAATGGGGGCACCCTCTGAGTTTGATTTAGCAAGTCTTAACTAGACCAACTAAAACAAACTCCGGAAGATTGATCATGGCAGTGTAGATCTTCCATTTAATGAAGACATGGCCTTGTTGTCTCCTGGAGTTTCAAAAGGATGAATTAAATACCCCTGTGCTGCTAGGCCTGGCAGATTGGTGATCCGCAGAAATTCAGCCAGACCAGAAGAACCTCCACGGGTGTGACACATGACCGTGGTAGCCAGGGGAGAGTTTTGCTTCTGAAGGGGATCAGAAGCCTTGAGAAGTTTCCTTTTGCACAGTACTAATAAACGTTTCCATCAGTCTCCGTTTTCTTTGGTGACACGGAGGCAGAAAATTCAGAAACAGCTGAGCTTGTATGTTTGAATGACTGCCGGGTAGTGCAAAGGCTGTGACACAGATGCAACTTCCATGCCCAGGGGAATGCTCGACATGAAGGGCGAAGGGCATCAGTGCGGGAGACAGAGCTCTCTTGTGGTCTGGCCTGAGACTGTGAAACACACTCCTCAGAGCCAGGGATCCTCCCAAACCTCTCCCCCTCTACTCCACAAGCACAGACGGCCTCCTCTCACACCGCTCTGCCTCACATGCTTCCCCATCAGAGCCCTGCAAGGAAGTCAGGGAAGGTGGATTTCTCAAAGTAAGCGCCATGACACAGCCCAGCCCATCAGACACCTGTGAGGTTCTGTTAATTGCAGGAACTTCGTTATGATTCTAAACAAGAGTGACAATGTAACAACATTGTGACTCTACAGCCAGATGTCACCGATATTTAACCGGCAGTCAGCAGCTGCCCTGGAATTTCACTGTAACCAGATTTGACCTGTATAAAAAATGTTACTGTTGAAAACTAAAAATGCAGACACCATGTAGATTCAAGCAGGAGAGTGGCACAGCACTGGCGGAGTGCCACCTTGCCACTTGGGCTCAGTGAACACTGCCAAGCAAATAATTACAATAGACTATATAGGGAGCTGATGGGAGGAGAGAGTTCCCGAGCCCCGGATATGTTTTAGCAGCAAGGTAAGATGAGCCAGTTAGACAATAGTCTAAAAGATTACATAGCAGTTCCGCCCATGGATCAGGTTAACGCAATGGCTAAACACAAGTATATGCCCCCCTCCCCAAGAACTGCAATGCACAGTCACATTCCAGTTGGGATCCATAGAAGTGATGACGGTGCTTTTCCCGACAGGTGCAGGGTGAAGTTCATAGGTGCTTGTCTAGGAGTATAAAGCAAAAAACAAAACAGAATGAGGTACGCAGCAAGCAACTGTTATAATATGCCTTTGGTAAATTTGCAAATGGGGCTTTCTAAATGGTAGGGTTGCCAGATGGTTTCAACAAAAATACTGGACACACTTGACATCACAATCGACATTACATCTTAGTTAGAAAATACCGGACATTTCTATTTTCTCAATTTGTTTCCTGAACAGTAAACTCAAATATGAACAGTAAGCTCAAAGATTGGACTGTCCGGTTCAAAACCAGACACCTGGCAACCTGATTAAAGGGGGGTGCTATCTCTAGTTCCTTGGCAGCAATTCATGGCTGGCCTTGAGAGGGAGCTGTTGTTTCTTTCCCATGCAGACTGGGGGGGACCTTGGAGGGCCCTAACCTTGAGTGTGTGTGAAATTCATGATAGTGGTACCCTATTATTCCTTCCCATTTGGTGTTGTGCTGCCTAGCTTATAAACAGACAGTGCTCTTTTCCTGTGTTCATCCTGTTTTTGCAAAGCTTCCTGTTACTGTTCTGGCTCATCAGGGCCCTGTGCCTTTGATTTGACTGCATAGTACAGCTTCTGCAAAGGCTTAACCAAAGACTTAAGGGCTTACCTATATTATTAATGGGCTACTGTCTAGTAAAGTATATGGAGATACACCTATCTCATAGAATTGGAAGGGACCTTGAGAGGTCATCAAGTCCAGTCCCCTGCTCTTATAGCAGGACCAAGTACCATCCCTGGTAGATTTACCCCAGATCCCTAAATGGCCCCCCTCAAAGATTGAACTCACAAGTCTGAATTTACAAGGCTAACACACAAACCACTGAGCTACCCCTCTACTGACAACAGGTCAAAAACCTGTTCCTATAGTTACATAGGGGTTTCCCTGGGCTCCCAGAACCCTCTGGGGACAGCTGTGGCCACAGCTGCCCAAAGGCAACATAACACAAGAGACTCTCAGCTCCTCCAGTTATCAGCCCTGAAGGTGGTGACGAAAGCTCCAAGGCGGGGACAGGGAGGTGATGTGATGGAGCCAGGGCTCAGCAGAAGTTACTTTCCCAATAGAGCATTGCCAGGAAATCCACCATGAGATCTATCCACGGCCATAGGCAGGGCATCCTTTCACAGCCAGCTGCTGGGCGGGGAGCTCTGTTAGGCCCTGCTCTAGGGTGTGGCTCAGACTTGACAGACATTCAGCAGAGAGGATTTTCCTGGGGAAATTCTGTTTACACACAAAGATGCAACCTACCCCACTATCCCTAATGTGCACAGCTAAACTAGCTTGCACCACCCTGTCCTGGTGCTTTCCGTACCCGAGGGCTGGCAAGGCAGAGCAGGGCCGTGGGAACCCATCTAGGGCCAGTCCCATTTCTCCTCACTGACTAGCACAATTAGAGAGGCCAGAGTCCTCAGAGACGGCCCCATGCTGCACAGATCCCAGTAGGTTCAGCTGAGATGAATTATAAAGACCCTGCAACATTGCCTGGACATTTCATGCACACACACAGACATGGGCACAGCAGGACAGAGACATGAGGAGGGACAGACAGGAGACCTGCCAGGAGGTAGGTGACTGTATTGGGCTGTTTGAATAGACGGGGTGAGGGGCGAAGGCGAGAGCTGCTCTTTGGAAAGGCCTCTGTGTCAGGAGATTGACAGAAAGGTAAATGTTTCCATGGCTCATACACCAGTGTGAGGAGACGTGGCAATAAGCGACAGGAACTGGGATTTCACACTTCTGGGAAGAGAAATAATGTAACTGGCATTACAGGTGCCTTTGCGTGATAGGAAAGTTAAAAACACCAGTGGCAGCCGTTTCAGGAAGTAAGTGAGGTGTCCCTCCCTCCCCCGGTATTAAATGCACTGCTCCCTGTATTTGAATTGCTAATAACTCAGCACCACAGGCCCATGAGTGCACAAGGTCAATCTACTCACTAACAGAGATCTGGACGGGGTACGGCTGGGGAACCATTACACAACTCACCGATGGTAATTTTCTTACACAGGAACCCCTATCACCAAGAACTTGAATTTGGAGTCGATCATGATTAATAGGAACATAAGACCGGCCAGACCCGGTCAGACCCACAGTGGCCCATGCCAGGTGCCCCAGAGGGAGTGAAGAGAACAATCATCAAGTGATCCCTCCCCTTTGACAGTTCACAGCTTCTGACAAACACAGACTAGGAACACTTCGGCACACCCAGCCATCCTAGACCAAAAGTGTTAACGTGACCCTTGGCTGTGTTAAGAGGGGATGAGTGAATGGAGCAGGACAGAGACTTTACCATTGTGTATGGCATAGGCAAATAAGACACTAGAAGTGGCCAGGTCCAGTGTACACATTTTAAAGCAATGTTGAAAAAGCATGTGGTGCAGAGGAGAACCACAACATTGCTTTGGGGACTGGTTTGGGCATAAAGAGCTCAAACCATGCAGCTCAACAGGGTTATCAAAAGATGACTCGACTAAGGTTTCTGTCTTCTTGGGGCGAGAATCCCAGTTAGTAAAGGACACGTTAATCTATAGGCAGAGAGAGAACCGCAGGCTGGAAGTTACAGCCAGACAAATCCAGATGAGAAATGAAGCTCACGTTGTTACAGATGAGGGTGATTTGCAATTGGGACAGAGTGCTGGGGACATGATGGGCCCTGCATCTCCTGAGGTCTTCAGTTCAGGAGTGGAGGCCTTTCTGGAAGATGCTTTAGTGAGATCCAAAATATTGGGCTCCATGGAGGGTACTTGGGTGAAGTTTAATGCCCTGTGCTATACAGAAGATTAGCCAAAAAGATAGATAGATAGATAGATGGGGAGGTCTAGGTTGGATATTAGGAAAAACTGGAATAGGTTATCTAGGGAGGTGCTGGAATCTCCATCCCTAGAGGATTTTAAGTCCCAGCTTGACAAAGCCCTGGCTGGCATGATTTAGTTGGGGTTGGTCCTGCTTTGGACAGGGGGCTGGACTTCATGACCTCTGGAAATCTCTTCCAGCCCTATGATTCTATGAGAGTATATTTGGATAACTAGCGAGAGCGAGAGATAGATAGATAGATAGATAGATAGATAGATAGATAGATAGATAGATAGATAGATAGATAGATGCCCTGGAGGTACTGGCTGTAATCTGCAATGATCACACAGCTGCAATTCTTTCTGGTTCAATTTCCCATGTACAGATCAGGCTAGGCTCAGCCCTGGCACAACCCACTGGAATAGCTGTACAAGAGCTTGGGATGCAGGGAGTAGCCAGGGGTGTCTGCTGTCTCCAAGTCATTAACCTGTGACCGCAGCCCTGGTCTTCCTCCTCTTATCTCCGAGCATGGGGCAGGATCCCCGTAAGCAGCTCTTAGGTCTCCCACTTACGCTTGATGGCTGGGGAAAGAGGAGAATGGCATGGAAGTCTCTGAGGCCTGCGCTCCTTCTCTCTCGGCACAAGAGTGACTCTGTGCCACAGCTGAGATTGGGGCCACACCGTGTCAGGAGCTGTACACACACATGCATGCGAGAGAGTCCATGCGCTTAGGAACTTACCAAGATAATATACAAAATAAAGGAAGAAAAGGGAAACTGAGTCATCGATCATGGTAGTGACAGACCCAAGGTGACCCCGCATGTCAGTGGCAAAGACTGGGACAGCACTCATGTCTCAACTCCCAAAAAAACCAGCCCTTTCATTTTTGTATTACAGGGAAAGAATGTTGTGAATTGACAGACTCGCATCAGTCCTGCCCTGACCCCTCTTTGTTCCTGCTAACCGGCATCCCTGGCCTGGAATCTCAGCACGTCTGGATCGCCATCCCGGTCTGCCTCATGTATGTGCTGGCTCTGCTAGGAAACGGTGCTGTCCTCTTCGTGGTAAAGCAGGATGTGACCCTCCATGAGCCCATGTACTATTTCCTCTCCATGCTGGCTGTCATTGATCTGGTCTTCTCCACAGCTGTTGTCCCCAAAATGCTGAGCATCTTCTGGCTGGATTCCAGAGAAATCAGCTACGAGTCCTGCTTCCTCCAGATGTTCTTCATCTACACCTTCGCTGCCGTGGAGTCGGGAGTGCTCCTGGCCATGGCCATAGACCGATACGTGGCTATCTGCAACCCCTTGAGATACAAGGCCATCCTAACCAACCCAAAGATTGCCTTGATCGGGCTGCTGTCCCTTGCAAGAGCAGTGGGGGTCATGACACCCTTCATCTGCTTTCTAACCAGTCTGCCCTACTGTAAATCGACTGTCATCCCTCATTCCTACTGTGAGCACATGGCTGTGGTGGACCTGGCGGGCACTGACTCATCAGTCAGTGACAAGTACAGCGTTGTGGTGGCCACCACCTTAGTGGGAGGAGACGCCATCTGCATCACCTTCTCTTATGGCATGATCCTCCGCTCTGTCCTGCGCCTCTCGTCTCACGAGGCGCGTCTCAAGGCCTTCAGCACCTGCGGCTCCCACCTCTGCGTCATCCTGCTCTTCTTCGTGGGAGGGCTCCTTTCCATGTACATAGAAATGTTGGACCTCGGTCTTCCACGTCACATCCAAGTCTTGCTTGCTGACTTGTACCTCGTCATCCCTCCCATGTTGAACCCGGTCGTTTATGGCCTGAAGACGAAGCAGATCCGGGAACGGGTCTTCAAGCTCTTTAGACAAAGACAGGACTTAGCAGAACCCCGTATGGATGGAGGCCACTGACACAGCCCCTCAACTTAGGAGAACCCCTCTGTTATCCCCATTTTCACCTTTCTGTCCCCGTCCCCAACACTGTGGCCTCACATGCACTGTGCAAGAAAAAGAGAGTGTGTGTGTGTGAGAGAGAGACATTTTGGCTACGTCTAGACTGCATCCCTCTGTCGAAAGAGGGATGCAAATGAAGCACATCAAAATTGCTAATGAAGCAGGGATTTAAATATCCCGTGCTTCATTAGCATAAACATGGCCACCGCTCTTTTTTTTTAATTGAGCTTTTTCAAAAAAGATGGCAGTCTAGACACGGATCTATCAAAAATAAACCCTTTTTTTACAGGATCTGTTGATAAAGGGTTTATTTTCGACTGATCCGCCTATAGACTGCCGGGATTTCCCTGGCTTCATTAGCAATTTCGATGTGTCTAATCTACAGCTCTCTGTCGACAGAGAGGTGTAGTCTAGACACACCCTCTGTGTGTGAGGGACAGATTTGGTAACAGATTGAGGTTGTGTGGTGCAGAGAGAAGAGAGTGTGTGTGGCAGTGTGTGTGTGCCAGTGACTGTGTGGGACAAAGAAAGTGTGGTACACACAGGAGGGGAGTGACAGTGACACGAGAGTGTGTGGGCCGGCTGCTGCCTGGCAAGAGAGAAGCCACGCACTGTCTCTTTAAGACAGGGAAAGATGTCCGGTTCTGTCTGCTCCTTCCCCTGCTCTGCAGAGATGAGGTATGGGGGGGGGGGGGGGGGGGGGGGG